ACGACTGCACAACTCCCAATCATAATTTTTCCCTACACACTAATTTATATAATTTTTTAATACACATTTTTCCATAAAAAGTCAAAAAGTTAACCCAAACATCTATATTTTTTCCTCAATTTTTTAATCTAAAAAGACAAAAAGTATACTTATTTAGGATATCCCAAATTTAATATCTCAAGTTATTATTAGAACAAAATAAATTATAACCCATTTTACATAAAATTTATAATGTTTAATTGAATCGCTATTTATTCATTTATGATCTGGACAAAATGAATGAACGATTAAGGCCTCGTTTGGGAACAGACTAATTTAGTAACTTTTTGGTTATTTAGCTAAAAAGGTAGCTAAAAAAAACTTGTATGTTTGGGATGATTTTTTGACTAATTACGAAAAGATGTGCAAAAAGTAGAGAAAAAATAGAATCTTTGACTTTTTGATTAATTTAATAACTTTTTGACTTTTTGACCAAAAAAATAAGTTCCCAAACGGGACCTAAGTCAGTTTACCAAAGTTAAAAAGATATTTTGAGTAAATATTTTAAAATTGAAACTACTCAAATATATCACTTTTAAATTGCTCGGCAGACAATTTGACTTAATAATTATGTAGCACTTTACATGGTGTAAAATTTCAAACTCAATTTAATTCTTTTTATGATAATTGATTTATTTCTTCCTCCTCATTATGGAGTTGTTGAGCTTGGTGGGTTGACAAAAAACAGAATGATGAAGGTTGCGTTTGGTAGAGTTTTGTAAATATGATTTGAAAGCATGAGTTATATTTTGAGTTTGTGAGTTGTGGAATTATGATTTGAGTGTAGAAAATTTGTTTGGTTATAGTTTTTGAATAGAATGTTGAATTGAGTGTGAAATTGAGTTTTGAAAGTTTGATTTGCCATGTGAAGTAAGAAAATTTGTTTGGTTATGAGTTTTGGAAAGAGTTTTCAAAACTTAATTCAAATTGTTATAACTCATAACAAAACACACTACTTTCACACTATTAAAAATTCTGATCAACACTCATAACCAAACTCTTTTTTAAATTCAATTAAAAAAATTTATTATTAACAGAAAATAACATTAATCAATTTTTTAATTGAAAATATTACAAAGGAAATATTTTTTTTTTCAAAATAAATATTCAAAAAATTTAAATCATAAATATTTAAATAATATAAAAAATTTAATAAGTAAAAAATTAAAATAAATATTCAAAAAATTTAAATCGCACACCTTTTAAAGAATGTGCTCTATAGTGTTTCCTCTTATTATTTTATAAAGTTTAATATCTCAAGTTATTATTAGAACAAAATAAATTAAAACCCAATTTACATTAAATTTATAATGTTTAATTAAATCTCTATTTATTCATTTATGATCCAGAGAAAATGAATGAACGATTAGTTAGTTTACCAAAGTTAAAAAGATATTTTGAGTAAATATTTTAAAATTGAAACTACTCAAATATACCATTTTTAAATTGATCAGCAAAAAATTTGACTTAGTAATTATGTAACACTTTTCATGGTGTAAAATTTCGAACTCAATTTTATAGAGAGCAATTTGATGCTTTTATGATAATTGATTTATTTCTTCCTCCTTATTATGGAGTTGTTGAGCTTGGTGGGTTGACAAAAAAAGGAATGATGAATTTTCTCAACTTTTTGCTCTATGGAGTGGGCTCCACCTCAATGATTTATTACAATATATAAATATTAAAAAAATAATATAAAAGTCTATTTTTTTAAATTTAATAATTTATTAATAAAATAATTAATTGATAATTAAAAAATAATTAAGAGAAAATTTATTTAAATATTTTAAGAAAATGCCACGTTACTAAATCTACAAAGTGAATTTATTTTTTTGACATGAGTAACAATACTCATAAATATTTTAGGAATAAACATTTTTACCGTCAAAAGTGAAAATATTATTACTAAAAATATTAAGGTCCCAATTTCAACCAAATATTTTTACCATGAAAATATATTATTACAAAAAAAAAAAATATTGGGCTGCAAATTCAATCGGTAGGAAAAGGTGGTCCGAGAAAGTAAAAAAGTGGCGGCTATTGATGAAATTTTAAAATATCACTAGTTAATGTATTTTTAGAAATAAAATAATTTGGTGTTGGGTTTATTTTTTGACAAAAAATTGTTCCAAAAAGGTAACAATTTATTATTAAATGTTTAATTTTATCACTAAAAATATAATAATAATAAATTTTTTGTATGAAACTAAAATATTTTGTTTCTAAATTTTTTTCTCTAAAATTTGTTGTAGTGATCGAAACCATTCATTTGTTGTAGTTGTGATGCAAACCACATTGTTCATCTGTTGTAGGGATCCGAATCATTCATTTTGTATAATCCTCCTAAAAGATCATTCATACCAAAAATTTAGTTATTTAGATCTCATTTGTCTAAAAAAAATTGCTCGACTACATTTGAAAGTTATACTATTTGTTAATTATTTTTTATACAAATGTAATCAGACTCAGTGGCACTTAGTGTCCGATCAAGCTAATTTTTTGTTTTTTAAAATAGAATTTTCCATACAAAACAACATGGCCTTTTATGATCCTCTCACTTCAATGCAAAGCCCACCATTGTGGTTCAAGATTGTAAAAATACAATTATCACATCATTTTGTATGAATTTTATGCATAGTAATTCTGGTGTTAAATTTTATTTATTTTTATTTTTATTTGGTATGAATAAAGATATATAAATACAAATATGTATGTAAACACACAGGTTTTGTTTGGTTTGTGTTTCCCAAAAATTTTTAGGAAAAATTCTCTACAAATAAGTTTTCAAAAGTAATCAAACCAAACAAATTTTTCCAAAAAAATTTTTCAAAACTTGTTTGGTTTACAAGTTTTCCAAACAAATCTCTCTCTCATACACATCAAATCAATCACTTTTTCCAAAACTCTTTCTCAAAATAATTTTCCAAAGGGTCCTGCTACGTTTCATGAAAACTGTCATGAAAACTGTCATGAAAACCATCTGCACCGTTGGATCATGAGACACATACCTGATCTAACGGTGCAGATGGTTTTCATGACAGTTTTCATGAAAATTCTTCATGAAACCTAGCATTTCCCTTTTCGAAAACATCTTTTGAAAAAAGCCAAACCAAACAACTTTTCGTACTTTTTATCTCTAAAACTCATCTCCAAAACTCAAACCAAATATACCCACAATTTGTATTGAATATGGCATAAAAGTGACACAGACGATTTTATTACCCAATTATGAAAAAATTTAAAACTCAAATAGAGATGTAATAGTAAATAAAATGACAAGTGGTTCACAAATTAGCAATTAATTAAGCTCTTAAATAAGAAAAGCATACCTTGTCGTCGAAGAAGGGTTGAATGATGGGATCACAATTACTCTCTGAATCTGAAGCAGGACAGAGACGCTTCAGTGTTGGCAAATACGTCAATGACAAGGAACTCAGTTGTGGCAGCTCAATTGCATTCATAGCTTTGCAGATAGCAGTCAAACTTGGCAGCAATTCAAGACCCAATTTCTTTAGTTTAGGAAACTCGATTTTATCTGTTGCTATTGTTGCTATTTCATGCTCTACTTCTTCACTCGAAACAATTTCTTCCATCACATCGCATCTACGTATCCGAAGGTCCTGCAGTTGCACTAGATTTCTAGCTATGGAAAGTGAGAACATACTTTCCAGTTTATCACAACAGGTCACATTTACAGTCGTCAGGTTGCCGAGCCATACAAGTTGGGTGGGACCCTTCCACAAATTTGTCAGTTCACGCAGGTGATCTAGTGTCAACACTTTCAATGCACTGAAAGCCTTGTTCGGTAGTCGGCATTCATGACTAGTAATCCCTTTGCTGTATTGATGAGGTATTCCAAATCATACAACTCAACTAGTGACAAATTCGTTAAGCATTCAAAACCATCTTCGCGGACCAAATCACAGAGAATTTTCAAACCTTTTACACTTGAGTTTAAAGTCAGAGTTTCAGTGCTCTTCCACCGAAAATTAAGCCTCATTTCAATAATTGTTAAAGTTGATGTATAGAGAAATAGAGAGAATGAATTATGTATTGATTTTATTGAATGTTATGTTTTATGTACATGGTTGGTCTCCTTTATATAGGAGATGTGGGTGGAGAGTAGGTGTAGTGGAGTAGGTGGAGTAGGTGGAGTGGAGTAGGTGTTGTGGAGTAGGTGGAGTAGTTTTAACAATAATGTCGCTCATGTTTTCAACTCCAAGGTTCAACTGATTTGATAACGAAGAACAACCGAAAAGGATGTAATAGTGAAAGCGACTGCCAACACTTATATCGAACTTTTTTAACTTCTCAACCACCAAACCTCTCGGCCAGAAAGACATGTTTATTAGATCAATATCCAAAGCCACCAAATTGTACAAGGACGCCAGCTCATCGATAGTTGCTTTAGCACTTTCTTTTCTTTCTTCATCTCCACACCAACTTTGAAAACTATACCCAACATACAGCTCTTCTAGCTTTGATAAGCTTGACAAAACCCCTGGGTAAATCCTTTCCACTACACATCCCAACAAATCAAGTACCTTCAAGTGAGCAAGGTGACCTATTATTTCTTTTGGCAATTCATTGATATAAGAGTCGGCGAAGCTCAAAATTTCCAGGTTCTCTAATGCTCCGATAACAGAGATACTATCATCAATAAGTCGGCAACGAAAAAGTGACAAGGTTCGGAGGTTGGTCAAGCATCGAAGTGATGTCGTCAATGAGCCGTACATATCGGATAAAGCTAGCACTTTAAGTTCTTTCATTCCTTGGTAAAAACTATCTTGGGTCTCTTGTACTTTGATTTCCTCCATTCCTTTGTTGAGATCATGTAATGAGATTGGTGGTAATCCAGCATTGCAATCTAGCTTTAAAAGATGGAGATTTGGAAATTCTAAATTACCAGGAAGCCCATGCATACCATCAACTTTTAATGAAATTACAACGTTTTTTTCGAGTCAGTCTTTCTCAGGCCATTCTTTCAATACTTCATCACATCTCACGACAATCGAATGTTTCTTCCTAGATGCAATTGATATAGCCACGTCACGTACGACATCATGCATTTTGATCCACTCTGCATCTTCACTTTCCATCAATAGATAGCATTTTTTTAAGTCAACAACTAAGGAATGTACTCTATTTCTTGTTTGGTGCACACTATCAACGCGCTCAAACAACTCTATCCGAATCGCATATCTAACGAGATCCTCAGTTGAAATATCAAAATCTTCCGGAAATAAAGAGCAGAGCAGAAAGCATTTCTTGGCTTCATCCCTATCAAGGGAATCATAACTCAACTCCAGAGATATAAACATCTTTTCATCCACTCCACTGATATTTTTGACCACAGACTTTCGGAATTGTTCAAGAGCAGAATCCCATGAATACTTGTTTTTGCATCTGAGTGCCCTTTCAACTATAACAATAGCAATCAGCAAGCCTCCACATTCCTTCGCAACTGCCATCTGCATCAACTGTAAATTAGTTGGGTGACTTGTACCTTCGTCAGAAATTCCAGCCATCTCCTTCAAGAGATTCCATGCTTCTTCTTCATGTAAGACACCAACTTTAAAATTCTTCTGTGTGTCCATGCCGTTGCATACATCTTCATTTCTTGAAGTCATCACAATTTTGCAACCCTTGTGATTATCTCCAAATGGAATTCCTATGTCATTCAATTCCAGTCTCTTCCAAACATCATCCAATATTACAAGGATTCTTCCTGCCTTCAATATTCTTGATCCTAGTTCCCCTGCTTTGGCAAATAAATTATTTCCCCCAGATAATTCAAAACCCAATATTTTGGCCATCTCACCTTGAATATTAATCAAATCTGGGTTTTGGGACACTACTACCATCACGATTTTATCAAACATCTTCTTTTCTTCCGCTTTCTTGGCAACTTCTTTCACCATAGTTGTTTTACCAACCCCTCCCATCCCACATATCCCAATTACATAGATACTATCATCTGTCAGTGCCTCTATAATTCCATTCATAGTCAATCTTCTAGATTCAAACCCCTTAAAACCTCTAGTGAATGCAAATGTTGTCCCCACAGTAGGTGCAACTGCAGGATAGGACACTCTAGAGAAATCTCCTTCTCCAAGTAGCTTTTCCACACTTTCAGTTTTCTCTGTAACTTTTCTGCTCAAGGAGTAGCGTGACTTCAAATTTGGACACCACCCATTCAGACACCCTATGTTTGCGTTCTCTTCATCCTCGAGAAATTTCGTAGCCTCTTCGATGAGTTTATTGACCAATGTCAACCACCGCTCAACATCTGGTGCAATAGTTTCTCTCTTTGTCTCTGCTTCTTTAACTGATTTTTGTACTCTAAATCTTTTATCTTCCAGCTTTTGGACCTGCTCCTCCAGATTCTTAATGTCTCTGTCATAGAAAATCAAATAACCAAACTGGCGGCCAACTGTGGCAGCCAGATATTCTCCAATCTTCTTTACTATGTGAAGAACAAAGTTCTCCACCATTTCTCTCACGTTTTTCTTCTGAGGATAGTTTAATGTAAAAGACTAGAACACAACAAAAAGGGATTTCTACTACAATCAAAATGGAATACAAAATATATATATATATATATATTGACAAGTAGGGTTGAATATAGAGAATCATATTGTAATATAATGGGACTAGAAAGGGGAGCTTTTGTAACAAAAATAGAAACCAAGAAAGGGAGCTTTGTAAAAATGAAAATAGAACACACAGCAGAATATTATTCTGATATTGAGTTCTAAGACCATCTCCAACGGTGGACTTTTTTTTTCACTAAATCTGAGTAAAAAATGACTCATTTCATCAAATTTGATATCATTACCTCCAACAGTGTGCATCAAATCCTGTATCAAATCCCGTGGGTCAACCGGTTGGTCAACCGGTAAGCATAAATATTTTTTTTAAAACGCTATGTTTCTGAAATTATTTGAATTGATGAAAACCCACCAATTATATCAATTGATGAAAACCCACCAATTGTTTGGTTGCTGTCAATATCTTTGGCGTGAAAACCCACCAATTGAAATTGCCTTTCATTTTCATTGATTCATCCACCAGTTGCAGCTTTTATTCTCATAGATGCATCAATTGAAACAGTTTGGTGGTGGGTTGACCGGTTGGTTGACCAGCCGGTCAACCGGTAAGGCAAAAATAATTTTTTTTTTTTTTTGCCTGTTTGAACTTTTTTTGACCGGTTTGAACTTATCTATTTCAAAGGAATTCGGTCGACCGGTTGGTCAACCGGCCGGGCAACCGGTTGGTCGACCGGATCCTCCCTCCAACGGTCACCAACAGTATTTTGGTGAAATCAGTATCTTGTCGTCGATTTGACGAATTATTTGATGAAATCTCAATCTGATATTGATTTGGTGCAACCGTTAAAACTATGAACAGTGATTTTTTTCATTAAAATTTAAATTTGATATCAATTCTGATGAACTGTTAAAGATGGCCTAACAGAATTACACTGGAGGAGATAACAAAGCTCTCAAAAATAAAAAATAAAAATAAGAGATTCAGGTTCCCAACACATTTAATAATTTAATAATTTATTCGAATACAACCCCCCCTCTAGAAGAGGAAGGTGCATTTATGCCGTGAAGGAACCCAACACAACGACCCATGTGAGGTGAGTGGCTGACGTTGCTTTGTTTGTAAGGCTTAGTTTGGGTAGATTAAATAAGTGTATTTTTTTATTTTTTTATGAAATATGAGTTGAGTTTGGGTTAGATTTGAAGTGATATATTAGAGAGATAATGTGACTTAAATAAGATGATATGACTTAAATAGGATAGTGACTTTTTGACTTTTTGTCATTTTTCAATCATACCAAACTTGATCTAAATAGGCCATAGTTCAATTATTAAATGAGAAATAACATATCAGTTAAAAAGATGAATATATATATATATATATATATTTATATATTATTATATCAGGTTAAAAATTAGATTTAATTTTTAATTCTACTGATGTAATAATTAATTAAAATATTTAAAATAAAATATTTTTTTATATTTTTTAATTATCAATTAATCATATTCTTCACACATCATCAAAAATTAGTCTAAAAAATATATTTATATATCATTTTTTTAAAAAAAAATTACAGATTAGTGGTAAAAAAAAAGTATATTTCCATAAAATTAAAATTAAATTAACGGGTCAAGATTTTTGGAATCCAATCCAAACATCTTAAGTCGTGAGATTAAGATGACATTTTGTGTAAGGTGTAAAACCCAATCCAAACATCAAGTTGTGAGTTTAAAGATGACATTTTGTGTAAGCTGTAAATCAACCTGATGTATCCATTATACAAATTTCAATACCATTCACTTGTTTGCTTAACTATTCGAACTTTTAAATTGAAAATTATTTGTTTTAAATTAAGCTTTGACATTTCTAACAAAATAAATCTTATTTTTTTAATTTTATCAATTAAATCATAATCTTTTGATTTGTCTTTAATCTAAGCTATTGTCTATTTCTGTTAAGTAAAATTAATGAAAAAAATATTTCAATTATTAAACTCAACAAAAAAGGGTATTCTAGACATTTTATCTAAACTTACATGAAATTTAATGGCTATAATATATATATATATATATATATTTGTTGATTTTACTTGCCGAAAATAGATGAACAATTTAGATTGAAAACAAATTAAAAAATTAAAGTTTAAATTGATAAAATTAAAAATTTATAATTTATTTTATTACAAAAGTCAAACCTTAGGATTTTTTATTTTTTATTTTTGTAGTTTTTCTATTTAATTTTTACTTTTTAAAGCTAAAAAAAATTAGTTTAAAAAATTAAAAAATAAAAAGTAGTCGTGTGTATTTGTGCTTCGATGGACCCAACCCAGCAACCTGACGTGATGTAGGTGGCCCACTTTGCTTTTGACCCAGCCATGGCTCAAAAATTAAATTTCCATAATGATGGGTGGGTGGAGAAGTAGGAAAATGTCTCGTAACTCAAATTTTGTGGCTTAAAAGTGGTTTAAATGGCCAAAACGACGTCGTTTTGACCATTTTTATGTTGTTCTGTACTCAAAACGACGTCGTTTTGGCCATTTTTATGTTGTTCTGTACTCAAAACGACGTCGTTTTGGCCATTTGAGCCACTTTTGAGCCACAAAATTTGAGCTACGTAGCATTGTCGGGAGAAGTATTTGATTTGGAAAATTCTAAATATATATAAAATTTATACAAAAAATTTAATAAGAATAAAGTAATAATATATTATTGTAAATAAATATATCTTCAATGGTGTTTTGTTTTAAAGTGAAATGTCCACAATGGGCCACATCATTATGTATGAATTTTTTGTTTGTATAACATTACTCTTTGATTTTGAAATTTTTAAAAATAATTTTTGAATTTTTAATTTATATTCACTAAATACTAAAAAGTACTATATATATATATACAGTACATATTCATATTTATTGATTTTTTAAAAAATTTATTCACAAATCAAAATATTAGGATTTAGATTGATAAAATTAAAAACTCATGATTTATTTATTGGGCAAATTACATGTACCCCTCGAGGTTTGGCTAAATTACAAATATCCCCTGAGGTTTGAGAAATTACAAATTTTCCCCTGAATGCTATATTTACATAACAAATTAGGGGGTAATTTGTTATGAAATTTAAACTTCAGAGGACAAATTGTTATGAAATACAAACCTTAAGGGACGGAATGTAATTTCTGAAACCTCAGGGGTATTTGTAATTTAGCCAAACCTCAAGGGAGGTATATATAATTTACCCTTATTTATTTTATTCACAAATTAAAATATTATAATTTAAATTGACAAAATTAAAAATTCATAATTTATTTTATTATCAGGGTCAACCCTTAATATTTTTTTTTCGTAATTTTTCCATTTACTTTTTTAAATCTAAAAAATAAAAAACAAAACAAAACAAAGCAAAATAAAAAGTAGTTGTCATTTTCGTACAATTTGTGTTTCTATAGACCCAACCCAACAACCCATATTATGTGGGTGGCCCACTTTGCTTTTGACCTAGCCCATGGCCCAATTATTAAACTTCCATAAATGATGGGTCGGTGAAGAAATTATGTATTTGATTTTGAAATTTTTAAAAACAAATTTTAATTTTTAATTTACATTCACTAAATACTAAAAAGTACGACAACAAAAATAAAATAAAATGCAGTACATATTCATATTAATTGAATTTTAAAAAAAAAAATTCACAAATATTTTACTTTTTTAAGTGTTTTAATGTACTTTATTAGACAATTTATTTCCCAATGTGTAATATGTTAAGTCTTGTGCTTTCCCATCAAAAATTTTTTTTAAAAAGAGTTAAGATTTTTTCAACAAAAATGAGTTTTTTAGCCGATAAATAGTTGTGAGAAAAATCATAAAAGTTATATATTTATTTTCAAATATCATGTGAGTAAATTGTACATAGATATAGATCCACCATTTAGCTTTCAATATTTATTCATAATTTGGATTATTCTGGTGTAATATTTTTGAGTTGTTTATATTTTTTTATTGTAAGAGATTATATAAGATTGTTTGGTATAAATTTTGCTTATAATTTATTATTTAAAATTTAGATTTTATTTTTTTAATTTAATTATAATTAAATTAACGGGTCAAGTTTTTTGAAACCCAATCCAAACATCTTAAGTCGTGAGATTAAGATGACATTTTGTGGGGTATCCTATCTACACTAAAAAACAAAGAAAACATGAAGCAGGTCCAACTTCGCAAGGGTAAGGCTTTTGGATGGTATTCTTGGAATCGTAGATCATATCACAAGTTTTATTTTGATAATTTGAACAATTTAATATGTAGAATTTGTTAAGTAATTTATCTCTTAAAAATATTATATTGATCAAATATTGATAAATACTTGATCAAAATACATTTTTGTCAATAATTTATTTTTAAAATCATATTTTATTATTGACAAAAATATGATGACCTTGTTTAGTTTAACTCTCAAAATATAATTTTTGAAAATTTTTTTTGGTTGGAAATTTTTTTTTAAAAAAATTCAAAATTACTTTCTCTCTTCTACACCTCAATTAATCACTTTTTCTCTCTCTCCTCTCTCATTCTCAATCGCTTTTTCTCTCTCACACACATCTACCAAACTATGATAAAATATCAAATCATCCAAAATTCCAATACTCCAAAACTATTTCCAAAATATACAACCACACAAATTAAAAAAAATTCTAAATTCTTTCTCCAAGATTTTTTTTGAAAATCTATCTCTCAAAACCAAACCAAACACACCTGATATAATCGAGAGATTATCGATATCCGATCAATATGATTTTTTGTAAAAATAAATTACTCGACAAGCTCTACACATTGGACGGTTTATATTATTGAAATGAAACTTGTGATGGGCACCACAGGTCCAACATCACTGTCCAGACCACTTGAGAGAAGCACCGCCTATTTCTCAATATATTCTATTAAAT